AGTGTTCTTGCCTGGAGAATCCCAGGGATGGGGTCGCACAGAGTCGGACATGACTGAAGTGACTTAGCAGTAGCAATAGCAGGTAGATTTTTTACTAGTGGTATAGAATTTGCCTGCCAATGCAGGAGAGTAAGAGATGCAGGTTCAATCCCTGAGTCAGGAAGATCCCCTGGAGAAGGAAATAGCAACGCACTCTGATATTCTTGTCTTGAAAATCCCACAGACAGAGGAGCTTGGCAGGCTACAGTACATGGAGTTGCAAAGAGTCAGACACAACTGAGCAACTGAACACACACACTTTGTAAGGTAGATCTTACAAAGCAGTGGCGAGTGGAAGCAATGCCTTGGTCTAACCTGCATCCCCTCCCCTGACATGGGGAAGGAGCTCTTTGGAGCTAAGCCTTTCCTTGGGCACCTCTCAAGGTGCCCTCCTCACTCCCTCTGCTCTCCCCACACATCTTCCTCTTCTCCTGGGTCTGCTTCCTCAGAAGGAGTTCCTTTCTGCCTCCTCCCACACTGGGGCTCCTTCGGCTGTGCCAGACACAGATGAAGTCCTTCCTTGCTGCCCTCTGAGCGCAGGGGGACTCTGGGAGCTTCGGCTGAGGGAGGTGAGAGGGGCCGGCTCCCCTGCCAGAGCCGGGGCCAATCTCCTCAGCAGTTCCCTCAGAAACGCCTCAGAAAAGCAGACCTTTGGTTTGTGCCCTGAAGACAACACAGGAGGAAAGTATATTCCTCCCATTAACATGGATTTGACTGTGTTCCTTTCGAAACTGCAACCCTTGTTTTCTTTTGCTAAGGAGCCTTTGACCATTGCCTGGGCTTGGGTTATACCATGAGTCACTGTGTCAGCTGCGAGTCACTCTGTTTTAGTCATCTGAGACAGCTTTTTGATTCCCAAATCTCTCGCCTAGAAGGAGAGGAGAGAGGAAGATGTGGGAGTTCACTTCTCCTGCTTGTAATTTTTCTTCTTGCTTCACATAGTCCTCCTTTCTTAACATTTCCTAAGGAGCCACAGGCAGGATGGCTGGGGAAACAGGAGTATTAGGCAAGAGTGTTTTTCCACTTGTCTCTGTCAAGATCCTGCAGGAAACAGCTGGTTTGCAGTCTTTCACTCGAGAGAGGGACTTGAATTAATACAGGCACTACTGACAGAGGGTAAATAGCAAGCAGACTCTTCAGTTCGTTGAGGTTAAGAACCCCACAAGGAATGGTGAAGCCCAGGAACATACACAAGCACATGCAGACCTGCAGAAGCAAGGGGACATGGCGTTCCCATGGAGCTCTCATGGTCCCAGGAGAGCTGTAGTCAGGGAAGGCAGCGAAAAGGAACACAACCACTGTAAAAAACCATGGTCTGGCAAGGGGGCATGGTGGGATAAATGGGTTGGTGACCCCTCTTTCTTCCTGCCCTCTGATCTTCCAGCACCACCAAAGTCAGCTGGAAGCCAGAAGGCCAGGAGCCTCCACAAAGCAAGCTACTGCTTGCAGTAAACAAACAGCTTATTATAATTTACATTGGAACACCGGACTTCTGTACACACCACCAAACTGCAACCCAGCCTCGCAGAAGATCAGCACATAAACGGCAAACAGGGCGCTGGTTCCTGATCTCTTTGTTGAGTGGGGTTTAGGTTTTCTCTCCCTGGCCCTCCACACCTCTCCACACTCTGTCAGTGACAATAAAAATCTGTGCCAATATATACATGTTTCTAGAATCACAGGTTTTTTGGAAGCCTGTCTTGTTTATGCCCCACCCCATCTCCCACACATCAGGAAGCCCTTTCTCATAGCACTGGTGTAAAAGTACTTGAGTAAAGTATCTTTGGTGGCGCTAGTGGTAAAGAATCCATCTGCCAGATGACTGGATAAGGAAATTGAGGTACATATACACAATGGAATATTACTCAGCTATAAAAAGGAATGCGTTTGAGTCAGTTCTGATGAGATGGATGAAACTGGAGCCTATTAAACAGAGTGAAGTAAGTCAGAAAGAGAAACACCAATACATACTATCAATATATATGACTATGTGTATAATAATACATACACAATATATATTAATGCATATATATGGAATTTAGAAAGATGGTAATGACAATCCTATATGCAAGGCAGCAAAAGAGACACAGATGTAAAGAACAGATTTTGGACTCTGTGGGAGAAGGTGAGGGTGGGATGACTTGAGAGAATAGCATTTAAACATGTATATTACCATATGTAAGACAGATGACCAGTGCAAGTTCGATGCATGAAGCAAGGCACTAAAGCCGGTACCCTGGGACAACCCAGAGGGATGGGGTGGGGAGGGAGGTGGGGGGTCCAGGATGGGGGCACACACGTGCACCGATGACTGATTCATGTCAAGGTATAGCAAAAACCATCACAATATCATAAAGTAATTATCCTCCAATTGAAATAAATTAATAAATTTTTTTAAAAGATTAAAAAAAAGAATCTGTCTGACAATGCAGGAGATGTAAGAGGTGTGGGCTTGATGCCTGGGAAGATCTCCTGGAGGAGGAAATGGCACTCCACTCCAGTATTCTTGCAAGGAAAATCTCATGGACAGAGGAGCCTGGCGGGCTACAGTCCACGGGGTCACAAAGAGTTGGACACCACATGTCTGAGCACACAAAATAACTTTATAAAGTACTTCACAAAATATTTAAGTACTTTGGTGGCAAACTGTTTACTCACCCCCGAGGGAAACTTATACGACAGCTCTGTTTTTAAAAGTTATTCATACCAAGCCACAACAATCTTTTTATTTAAAAGTTTCCTCTTCAAAGGGACAAGTTTTATCAAAGTTAGGTCTTTAAAGGACAACTTAAAAGTTGAAAGTTTTCTCAGTTTAGCTGGTAACTTCAACGTGATTCAACATCATCCATATTATTTGGCCATGTTTTCATTCTCCTGAGGTGTTTTTTTAAATGGAATCTGGAATTCTTTACTGCTCCTGCAGAGTAAAATCAAATCAAGGGTGGAGTGAAGGTGCTGGGCTCAGGGTGTGAAGAAGTTACCTGGGGACAAGAACTAGATACTTTTAGGGAGAAGAATAGGGACACAGTGATATTGTTGTTAAAGAAGCACTAGTTAAAGGTCAAAGAGGAAGAGAAACCGTATAAAATTAAACGGAATCTTTGTAGCACTCAGGAACCCAAATGTTTGAAAAAATAAAACCAGAAGATGCGGCGATGGTTTCTGTTTATTCCTAGGCATCTACTCTCACGTTTCTCCACTCTGCTGTGTCCTGAAGACTGACCTATATGTGCTACATCATCTTTCTTCTGGGTTTCAGATTAGCTTCTGTCATTTGGGACCAGGCAGGAGACTGGAGGGGAAGAAAATAAGGCTGGAATATTCATGCCTCCTCTCATTCTTCCTCCCTGTGGGGTCCCTGGAGGCTGGCTGCATCACTCAACTCAAGACCATGGCCTCAGTCTGGCTGCCCTTTTTACACTCTTCTCGTGTGTGTGTGTGTGTGTGTGTGTGTGTGTGTCTTTTCTGTCTTTGTCTCTCTCTCTCTCTGGATTTCAGTAACCCTCTCCCATTCAGGTCTGGGCACTGCAAACCCCTTGTGGTTTCCCACACCCTGCCCACAACTTTGTAAACAGTCCTTTGTAAATTGCCCAACAGGAATGATCCATTTTCTTCCTGCCAGCACCCTGACTGCCACAGTCAGTCCCATTCTTCCCCCAACATCTATTGTGTAGCTACTCTATGTCAAGGTGTGTGTTCATTGCTCAGTCGTGTCTGACTCTTTGCGACCCCATGGACCGTAGCCCGCCAGGCTCCTCTGACCATGGGATTCTCCAGGCAAGAATACTGGAGTGGGTTGCCATTTCCTTCTCCAGGGGATGTTCCACACCCAGGGATCAAACCTGCGTCTCCTACATTGGCTGGCAGATTCTTTACCACTGAGCCATGGGTGAAGCCCCATACTGTAGTTAGGGGTCCTTTTTTCCCCATTTTTTTTACTCTCTTTTTCTTCCTTTCTTTTTACCATCAAGGGAAAACTAGTGGCAGCATTGAAGTCTGTAGCCTCTAACTCTTAGACCTCAATCTTGGACCACCACCAGTGCGTGACACTTCTACTTCCTTGCCTAAAACCTGTCTTTTCCATTGAAAATCACGCCCATACACCTCCTACACATTCTAAGGGCTTTCACAATGGCAACAAGACAGTATGGTAAACAATTAATAGTCTTTGGAGATGAGCCACAGGAGGAGCTAGAAGTGAAGGTTCCCAAATGCATTCTAGGAGACCTTGCAGCCACAGCCCTTCTTTCTTTAACAGCAATGATAATTCTGTCACTTTTCTTGTCCAATGGAGAAGGGTGACATGAATGTTGGAAAGAGGGCAGGGAGTGAGTAAGCTCACGCCACCAAGGTGAGGCTTTAGTCCAAATACGTTGAATAGGTGGCACTTTTAAGATCCATTTTTATCACAAATGGGGAAGTCGAGGGTCCAAGAGGTGTCTGCTTTCTCTCTGTTAGGTGCACACGGCCAGTAGTCTCCTTGCTAGATGAGACCAGGTACACACTGTCTCACAGGTTCCTTCTTGGCAGCAAAGACAACCAGTCCTCTAGGTCTGCAGCTTAGGAGGCTTCGTAAGTCAAAATCACACACACACACAGCCACCCGACGGACCCCTCTCTTCTGTTAACCGATTGTGCACACCACTGCCTTACTCAGCCTCCTCTCAGAGAAAGAAGGGACACGGGGAAAGTTAAAAGAAAGTGGTGGGTGTGGAACCTTCTGGACTCTTGCTCTCAACAACTAACCAGATCGGTTCCTCGAGCTCTCGGCAAGCGCAGACGCCGACCACGAGATCCCCAGGGTGGGGCTAGTCTCTGAGCTGAGGGCCAGCTGCCCCCGCCCCGAGGCCCCGCATCCCCGGCAGGCCCGCGACAAAGCCCCACCCCGGGGCGGAGACAGCTCCTAAAAGTCGACGCCGCGTCCCGCCGCGGGCCGCCACCGTGCGGAGTATGGGGCGCTGATGGCCATGGAGGGCTACAGGGGCTTCTTGGCGCTGCTGGTGTCGGCGCTGCTCGTCGGCTTCCTGTCTGTGATCTTCACCCTCATCTGGGTCCTCCACTACCGAGAGGGGCTCGGCTGGGACGGGACCGCGCTCGAGTTCAACTGGCACCCGGTGCTCGTGGTCACTGGTTTCGTCTTCATCCTGGGCATCGGTACTGGCACCTCCTGGGAGGCGGCGGGGGAGGAGGGCCCGGGCTCCCGACAGAGCTCCAACCGATTGAGGCTGGGCGAGGGAAGCGGTGACGGAGTAGCCGGGGCCGGGGAGCCGAGTCGGCAGCGCGGAGGGAGGCGGCTGGTCCGGCGCCCGGGGCCCGCGGGCCGGGCGGACTTGGGCGAGCGCGGGAGCCGCGGCGGTGGGGCGGGGCGCGCGAGACTCGGGTTCGCTGGAAGCCGCGTAGCTGGGTCGACCGACCCGGCTAGGTTAACTGTTTGCTGCGAGTGGCTGGGACGCTACTTCAGACTACACCAAGCTTGGAAGCAGAGGGGAGATGCAGGAGCGCGGTGCGGCCAGGCAGCCCGCGAGCCCCCCGAAAATCGCCCCCTGTGGGACCAAGCCTGCGCAGTCAGGGGCGCGGAGATCTCTTTAGGCAAGGCCTGTCGTTGAACTTGCTTTGAGGCTGCGGGTTAGGAGAGGAAGGCAACGGTGGTGGTGGTGGGGCGGGGGGGAATGGAGTGGGGGAGAACTGGCCTCTTGTCTCTCATCTTCTCTAATTTTCTCGAAAGCCCTGAGCGAAGGGGCCCGTCAGCGGGTGGCCTCACGGGTGAGTGAAGGAAGCATCAACTCTGGTTTCACTTCTAGAGCGTTAAACTCAGTCGAGCCCAAGAAGCTGCCAGGATTCAAAACGGTGTTTCGCCGCATCTCCAGGTTACTGGACAGTCTTGAGCCCGACTTGTTTTTGTGACTGCAGACTGGCGAAAGTTCCTCTGCGGGACTTCCTGTTGGGCACTGGCCCGGATTGTGGGGCCAGAGATGCCCGCAGGGGGCCCGTGGCTGCCTGGCTGAGTGAGAGAGATGCTTATGCTTGGGACTTCTTTGGGGTTTGCTGCCTCGGCCTGTGTTCTCTGGGATGAGGCTGGCACGGAGGCTGGCTCAGTGGATGGTTGTTTTTGTTTTGAGCTATAATTGACATATTCGTTTCAGGTGTATAACATGATTATATATGGAAATACCTATTACTAATTAACATCCATCCCCTCACATAGTTTTTTCCCCTTTGAGATGGGATGAGACCTAGATCTCATCTCATTTAGTATTTAGAACATTGCTGAAGAATCCTCTTTAGCATTGTTCAGATCTACAATATATTATTATTACTTGTCACCACCGTTCTGCCACATTCCATCCCTTTAGAACTGGAGGGTTGTACCTTGTGACCACCTTCACTGTTTCCCCGCCTACCTCCTCTCTCTCCGGCAGTGGCAGATTTTGTCTTTCTGTAGTGCTACTCACAATGTCCTGACAGCTTTCTTTTCTTCCAGCTGCTGTCAGGCTGGAGGAACCTCTAGCTAGTGGTGCAAGCGCCATTTGTTTGTAGCCACTTTCCAAAAAATGAAGCCAAGGCCTTGGCAGACAAAGCATTTAGAAAAAGGCAGGAGTAGTGGACTGGGGTTATGTCACAGAGAAGAAAGGAGAGGAGAGGAAAGGACTGGGAAACAGAGGCCTCCCAGCTGAAGCCACTAGCCTTGCCTCCGAGCAGGCTGCCTTTTCTCCACCAGTGTTTAATTTTCCCCAAACAAACAAGAGAGCAAAAAAGCACTCACCTCGTTCCTAAAGAAAAGATTTTTGTTTCCGTTTAAAACTTGGGCAGCAGCCTTGGCCGGTGTGGCTGGGTAAGTAGCATCCTCCCACTCTGGAAGGTAGAGGCTGCTGCCAGTGTCCAGCTGTGGAGACGTCCCTGGTGTGGATGGGCATCCACCCGGGTGTGCATACCACTGGACAGCTGAGTCGTTCGTTGCGTAAGTCTCAGTTATTTTGCCACTAAACTAAAATGAGAAAAACATACTCGAGTTCCAAAGTCACTGTTGGCAGAAGCACTATTTCCTTCCTGGTGGAGCCCTCAAGTTTGGCCGGAGCTGTCAGAACCTTCTGTTTGCTCAAAGCAGTAGAAACACTCTCTTCATCTCTTCCAACCCAGTCCTCTGAGCAGTGCCTAATACTAAGAAATTTTCCAGGGGGGCTACAATATCTTCTCATAATTTAAGGTAATGGAAACAAAACAGATGATAATACTTGTTTCTTGACTTCTAAAAAGGAGATGGCCCATCATTTATTGAGTGCCTCTGTGCACCCACTCAGGGCATTAATTCACAGATACATAGAAGCATAAACTGAGGCACGGAGCAGGTAAGTAATTTGCCCATAGAAGTAGTATACATGTTTTCACTGGTTTTATTTTCAAGGTTTGTTTCTCTACTCTTATGGAAATTTGCTTGTTTTCTGTAAAATATCCTTTTTAGAGAAGCAAAAAGCTTCATCTAAAAAACACTTGGAAACTCTTTGTTCATGATAGAGTCCATTACAGTTTTCCTAAAAGAATTTATAGTTTGTCTAAACTTTGGGCTTTTAAAAGTCTGTTTATATTCACTTTGCAGCAAAAAAAGAACATGGATATTTTGGAAATTTTCATCTGCTGCCTTCATTTAAGCATAACTCCTGTATTTGTATTAGTTTTGGAATGTTTGTCCTGTCAACATAACCCATCCTGTTTATTATTTGGATTCCAGGCATGGAAAGCACTTTAATCAAATGACACATTTATTATTTTTAAAATTTATTCTATTGAAGTATAGTTGACTTAAAATGTTGTGTTAATTTCTACTCTACAGCAAAATGATTCAGTAATACATATATACATTATTTTTCACATTCTTTTCCATGGTTTATCACAGGATTTTTTTGTTTGTTTGTTTTTACCACAGGATGTTGAATACAGTTCCCTGTGCTATACAGTAGGCCCTTATTGTTTATCCATTCTATATATAATAGTTTGCATTTGCTAATCCCAAACTACCCCTCCCCACCCCCTGACCCTTGGCAGCCACAAGTCTGTTCTCTATGTAGATGATACATTTAATTAACATGAATGTAAACTTTCTCATACAAATAGGTACATGCATAGACCTCATGAATTCTTGCAAGTTTTGGCCCACCTGCACTTCCTCACATCCAGCAGTAGAAAGCCTCCAGTAGAATGAGGAGTAAAGAGTTCACTTTATAGGCCGGGAGGGTGGGAGGGGGACACACAAGTTATAGACCATCCGTGTTATAAAAGCCTTTCGTACTGTGTGTAATTGCTTCAAGGAGCAAATTTTTAGGCTATGTTATTTCAGATCTCTAATAGTGAACATGATGTAATTGAGTTCTGTGATACACAGATGTTTAGAGATGAGAAAAGTGAAAGTTGCTCAGTAATGTCCGACTCTGTGCAACCCCTATACAGCTCACGGAATTCTCCAGACCAGAATACTGGAGTGGGTAGCCTTTCCCTTCTCCAGGGGATCTTCCCAACCCAGGGATCAAACCCAGGTCTCCCACATTGCAGGCACATTCTTTACCCGCTGAGTCACAAGGGATGCCCAAGAGATTAGAGATGAGAAAGGAAAGCCAAAGTAGAATTATTACTCTAAACGTAAAATGCTTCACAAATGCAAACAGCCAACAATATTTAAAACTGTATGAGAACTGGTATATGTCCTTTGAAACACTTGTAAGAAGTAAGCTCTGAAGAAAGCAAGGGTGATACAAAGTTACAAAATATGTATCTGTGTGTGTCTTTTGGAAAATATACATGTTCCAAAATAAAGTATAACAGACTATAGGATATTTAAAGCTGAAATAAAATTTTAAACTAGTAGGAAATCTAGCAAACATGAACGAGGAAGTTTCAAAGAGACCTTTAGAAGAGCTTTGTGCTTCTCTGAAAGGAATGTTTCCCATGAAATAAGTATACTGCCAGGAAATCAGAGAAACAAAACTTGAAAAGGCCACAGAAAAGACTGAAACAAAAATGCTCTCCAAGTGGCTGCTGACCTTTTAAAAGGTTCCGCGAGGTGGAATGTGTTTTTTAGAAAAAGGCAGAAAATTCAGGTATATAAATTTAGTGAAAAGTCTCAGCAATCCTATACTCCTTAGTTTTCCATGTGTAGGACTCTTTTGACTATATAAACTGAGGGAAGAGAAATTCAATAGTATAATGATCTCAAGTTGGTTTTGTGAGAGAATATAACTTCATTTAAGTCACATTTAAAAGACTCACAAGACGAAATTGAGTCGTTCTTAAAAGGCAAGTGCGATATCCTATTAACGTACTTAAAAGTGACCAAATTCCAAGACCACTTAAATATATTTGGAAAGGCTCTCGGGGTAAAACCTGGCAGAGAGTGGAGAAAGTGCCTCGGATACCTATTCCAAAACCAGCCTTTGGGACACTATGGATAATAAAGCCTCATAAAGAAACAGGGCTTTTTACAAAGCATGAAGACTCAATTCAAGACAACCCTGATCACATTTTTCTTTTTTGTTAAAAATAAATACATACAGATCTCTTTGTAATGTAACTAATAAAAATGTTTCAGACATGAATATTTCACTCGCTGTTGTGTCCCCAGTGTCTAGAATAACACCAAGAACTGGCATAAGGTAGGCCAATAAATAGTTGTTGAATGATGGTTCTCAGTACCATTGTTAATTGTAACAATGCAGTTTTATAGCCACTCATTTGTGGAGATAGTAATGCGTTGTTGGGTGTGTGTGTTCAGTCATGTTTGACTCTTTGAGACCCCGTGGACTGTAGCCTGCCAGACTCCTCTGTTCATGGGATGTTCCAGGCAAGAATACTGGAGCTGGTTGCCATTTTCTACTCCAGGGGATCTTCCCAGTCCAGGGATCGAACCCTTGACACAGTCTCTTGTGTCTCCTGCATTGGCAGGCAGGTTCTTTACCACTGCACCACCTGGGAAGTCAGGGATAGTAATAGTAGCATCTGAAGGAGATGCCACTCCCTTCTTCTCAGTGATTCTGCTGTTTATAGCTCGTTTGGAAGCACCGATTAAGCCTCAGGGGTGAATTGACATGATGGTGTACTGGAATTGCATCTCTACTGTAAAGGCCTTGAGCTTATTGGAGTGTTACTGCCTGCACCTCCTCACTCCA